CCCCGCCCTCTGGCAGAGGCACCTGGGTGTGATGTTGACTCAGCAGCCAGGCAGTGACTCAGGCTTCATCTTATCACACCTTACAGGACAGATAAACCCCGCGCCCTACCCCTGCCACAGTGGGGCAGAAAGCCCGCTCAGAAGAAATGGTATAGGTTTGTCTGAGCAGAGGCCTGCAGGAGCATTTCCACTTGTACCTGCTCCAGGCTGGGCCTGGCACCTGCCCAAGGCAGGATTAGTTGTCCTATGGCTTCCAGAGTGACACCGTTTCCCATGGGAGTGGCAAACAGCTCCCTCTCTTTGGGACTTTGGGCAGGTTTCTCAACCTCTCACAGCCTCGATTTCTCCCACTGAAATGGGGTCATGAGCCGGGCATGGCGGCTCACGCTGTGATCCCAGCACTTCGGGAGGCTGAGGTGAGAGCACTGCCTGAGCTCACAGGTTCGAGACCAGCCTGGGCAACACGGTGAGGCTCATCTCTACGACAAATCAAAAAATTTAGCTGGGTGTGGTGGCACATGCCTGTAGTTCCAGCTACTTGGAAGGCTGAAGCAGAAGGATTGCCTGAGCACAGCAGGTCGAGGCGGCAGTGTCCATGAGCAGGCCTGGGTGACAGAATGAGCCTCCGACTCAAAAAAATAAAAGAAAACGGGGGTGACGACGACACTTGCTTTGTAGGGGTCAGTCACATGCTCAGTGTGTGCTCAGTTAGTAGCCGCAGTTCCAGACACCTGGGCCCTCCCTAACAGTGCCTGGCGCAAGGGACACACGGTGAGAACTGAAGCTAGTCCACAGGCTGAGCCTAGCTGGTGCTGAGGAGGGACTGGCATGGAAGCCTCCGAGAGCATCGTGGAGAGGGCTCTGGGTCTGCGTGCCTTCTTCTCTTCCTCATGGCTCCACTGAGCCCTTTCCTCCTCTCCCTGCCTGTGAGCCACAGTGTAGATCCCAGAACTGCAGGCGTCCACGGTGGGCAGGATCTCGGGGCCATCCCGTCCAGCTCCCCAGCCTTCTGCGGTTCTCTCAACCCCTTCCTCCTGCTTGCTGCCTTGAAATATTTGTGGAGCACCGCTTGTGCCAGGCACCGAGGACATGGTAGGAATAAGGCAACTGAGGTCTTGACCTTCTAGTGGGGCTTGCCTTCCAGTGGGGTCGGCGGGCAGTGAGCAAGCAACAAATCTCAAACACGATGTCTTCGAGTTCTAAGTGCGTGAAGAAAACGACACTGGCTGATGAAGGGCCGCCCTCGACGTGCAGAGCAGCTAGTCATGCATTCCGATAAGACCTCACGAGGGGCAGGGAGGTGCTTGTGACCTGCAAAAGGGTGTAAGCCTGTGAGGATGTGGGACCCGACGTCTCGGGTGGACCAAGCTTGGCGATGGCAGTGAGTGCCAGGGAGAGAGAACAGGACAAGATCAGGTGGCGCAGGGGTGAAGAACACACAAGGGAGTCTGGATGTTATTCAAAACAGAGCAGGAAACTTGAATAGTGTTTCCGTAAAGGAGGACCCAGTCGGACTCAGGTGCTGCTCAGGACCGAGTAGCAGAGTCAAGACTTGGCTGACTACTACCTGTGAAGGAAAAGGAGGGTCCCTGGCAGGGACATTATGGGCACCTGTCCCCTCGTGTTGAGGAAAATGTCTTTGTTGAGTTTCGGGCTCAGATAAGCCCTCTTTTGGCTAGTTTCCAGAGAAGCAGGGAAAGTGGGGGGGGACTATGACCTCCACTCCCTATTGGTCACTCAAGACTCATCGGCATATTATATGAATGAGCTGAGAACTGGCTTCCAGCTACTAGGCAGGAACCTAAGAGAGGGAGCACCAAGACGGCAGGAAGCTGAGTCATGATGCACAGGAAGGCATCTTCCCACAATGAGCAGCCAGGGCTAAACAAAGTGATCTCCAAGACAGGCTAGCATCTGTCCCCAAAGCTGAAAGGTCGGTTTTTTTGTTTGTTTTGTTTTGTTTTTGAGTCGGAGTCTCACTCTGTCACCCAGACTGGAGTGCAGTGGCATGCTTACGACCACCTGGGTGTCAACCTGCTGGGCTCCAGCAATCCTTCCACCTCAGCTTTCCAAGTAGCCAGAACTACAGGTGCATGCTGCCACGGCCGGCTAATTTTTGATTTATTGTAGAGATGAGGTCTTGCCAAGTTTCCAGGTTGGTCTTGAACCTGCGGGCTCAGGCAATCCGCTCGCCTCCCAATGTGCTGGGATTACAGGCTGAGCCACCGAGCCCGGCCCCAAAAGGTCATTAAACTGGGGAGGCCTGACCTGAGAGAATGCAGGGTGGGGATTCTGGCCACACTACCAGAACACATGGATTCTCACTTTGGCCTTCTGTTTTTGCCCAGAATCCTACTAACAGTGACTTGGAAATAACATTAAAATGCTCTAACCTCAAGGCTGGGCCCAGTAGCTCAGACCTGTAATCCCAGCTCTTTGGGAGGCTGAGGTGAGAGGATCGCTTGAACCGAGAGTCAGAAACCAGCCTAGGCAACACAGCAAAACTTGGTATCTACAAAAAATAAAAACTAGCAAATAATAAACACTAGACTTCATCTCTACAAATAATAAACATTAGTGTGATGGTATGTACCTGTAGTCCCAGCTACTCAGGAGGCTGAGGCAGAAGGATCACCTGAGTCCAAGAAGTAGAGGCTACTTGAGCTGTTACTTTGCCACTGCACTCCAATCTAGGCGACAGAGTAAGAGACCCAGAGTTAAAAAAAAAATGCTCTAACCTCTTAATAAGTTACATGGCATCTGTAAAATGGTACGCTGCATGCCATCAATCTATAATCACTCTATAGCCATGAATGAAAGATTGCTCACATTGTTAAATCTTAAAAGCTGGCTTAGCCGGGCTTGGTGGCTCAGCCTGTAATCCCGAGCCTTTGGGAGGCTGAGGTGAGTGGATTGGCTGAGCCCGTGGGTTCAAGACTCGCCTAGGCAGCGAGACCTCATCTCTACAATAAATCAAAAAATCAGCCAGGCGTGGTAGCACATGCCTGTAATTCTGGCTACTCGGA